CATATGTACTTCGCTATTTGCTAACAGTTTCTTCTAGCCATGTATTCTCAACAGCATTCTGTGTTATAGGGTGACTCTTAATATTGTTTAGGATTGCTTTCACTTGATATGTGGATGGAACAGTCTCAATCAAGGACATTTGCAGTAACTGTTTTCTCCCTCAGTCGCTCTCCTTTCCCACCTATTACTGCAGACATCTGAATAGGGGTAACATCTTAAACTCCCACATTTTAGCTTCTCCTGCCTGATCTCACCAACTGTTGCCATGGAAATAATTGTAGCATTGAAATTTTAGTACTACAACCAGAGTACACGACAGTGAAATCAGATTGGCTAACACAAATGAGGATGAGTCTCTCTCTTCCAACAAGTGTCTATTATACTTTGGGATATTTCTCCCCTACCCTTTCTCTGTGTTTACTCAGATGTCTAATTATATAGTTCAGTCTTTCTCTAATGACTTAGTGCAAGATTCTTCAAGGTCACCAGAAACTAAAAGCATAAATAGGAGCAAATGCATGCACAACTTATTTACATGGATTTCATAACAGCTAAGGAAAATTTTCCAAATAGTTTCCTGTAAATAGTTTCCTGTTTCCTAAAAACTTAAGGTATATCAATATTTTTTTTTAAATCTATCAACAGTTCTCAGTCTTTACAAGCAATTATTCTAAAAGTTTCTTAAATCAGTTAAAAATAAGAGCAATCTCTTCAACCAAATAATGGTCATATTAGGTCACCAAATGACTTTTTAAGTTGGAGATTGTCTGGCTTTCAAATAGGGTTAACCCAGATCCAGGGTCCTAGAACCCTGGCAATAGCAGGTAGTGGCTGTGTATTTGACATTTAAAAAATCTTGAATAAGAAACTTTAGGGAGGACGGTGGGTAAAATAATTATTAACTCTTTGCCTTCATTTTCCTACAAATTAGTAAATCTTTGATAGTGGTCACTATCCATATATTTGTTCTTATGTACCAAATTAAAAATGTATTCCTTTAGCCCTCTGGGGTGATAAAGGAAAATGTACTTTTTCATTGTTAATGTTATTTTAAAAAAGGAACACCACAGAGTGGTACAATGTATCTGAACGGATCCTATTTGAGACCTAGCTTGTAAGATGGCCTCCACAGCCTATCTAATAATAGGGTAGTATGCAAATTGGTCAAGACACCATCACAGTAATGACTGATCAGCAGGCTGCATGAGCAGCAGGCTCGAGTTGGTGGGGCCTTGCAGCGGGAACAGGGGTGGGGCCGCAGCAGAGGCCTCCCTCTCTGTGAGCCTGTGCCGGGGGTTAGGCAGGCATGCACAGAGGGAGGCCTCTGCTGTGGTCCTGCCCCTGGGGGTCCACAGGTCTCCCCTGGCTCTGGCCTACCTCTTTGGGGCAGTGGATTGCAGGGCTCCCACACTGTGACAGGGCATAGGCCAGGCTGGGGGATCACCCCCCGCCCCGAGTGCACGAATTTTGTGCACTGGGCTACTAGTTATAAAATAATTGGGAAGTCTAGAGACAGAGGTGGTTCTAGGTAAAATTAAGTAACCGCATTGCTTTGGGAAGCACTTTGACCTTTCCTCCTCTTCTAACATTTTCCTAAATTATTTCCCCTCAAAAGAAACAAATAACCTTTCCAGCCCTCACACTCATTAGGTTTTCTGACTTTAACTGCTCATCTGAGCCACTAAGTCATATCTTTCTTAATTCTTTTTTTTTTAATATATTTTATTGATTTTTTTACAGAGAGGAAGGGAGAGGGATAGAGAGATAGAAACATCAATGAGAGAGAAACATTGATCAGCTGCCTCCTTCACACCTCCTACTGGGGATGTGCCCGCAACCAAGGTACATGCCCTTGACCGGAATCGAACCTGGGACCCTTGAGTCCGCAGGCCAATGCTCTATCCACTGAGCCAAACTGGTTAGGGCTCTTTCTTAATTCTTAATCTTTTTCTTCTCCTGCCAAATTTACCTTTCCCTTTACCACAGGCCTTATGAAATGACAGGCCAATGAGTAGTCCTTTGACATTATAAACCAGGCTGTCACTACTATTTAAGCCCATAGTGACCTCCATCTCATCTAGAGTAATAGCCCAAATCCTCACAGGCTCTACACACTATAGCCCCCAATACCTATCTAACCTCATTGCCTACTATGCCCAGCCCAGGGCCTTGGTACCGTTCCTTTGACTCTTCCCCCAGATGGCAAAATTGCCAGCTCTCTCACTTCTTCCATGTATCAATGCTGCTTTCTCACTGTGACATTAGCTCATCAAAAAGTAGAATGTCCTGCCCTGCTGGTTGAGCATCAACTCATGCACCAAGAGGTCACAGGTTCAATTCCCACTCAGGGCACACACCCAGGTTGCGGGCTTGATTCCCAGTAGTGGGTGTGAAGGAGGCAGCCGATCGATGTTGAATGTTTCTCTCTCATTGATGTTTCTTTTTGAACCAAACTGACTAGGCCTTTAAATATTTATTATTCTTGTTGTTTTAATTGACTTCAGAGAGAGAGGAAGAAAGTGGGAGAGAGAAATAGAAACATGAATGTGGGTTGACGCTCAACCACTGAGCCACATCAGCCAGACTCTCATCCATGTTTCTGTCTTTCCCTCTCCCTTCCTCTCTCTCTAAAATCAATAAAAACATATATATATAATATATATATATATATATATATATAGTTCTTTATCAACCCAACTTGTAGTCACTATACCACTTACTTGCTTATTTTTCTCCATAGCATTGATCTCCATATGACATATATTTTAATTTACCTACCTGTTTATTATTTGTTTACCCCTTCACCAAAAAATACCCAGTAAGTGAGCACCATTAGAGAAAGTTGTTTTTTTTTTCTGTGTTGTACTTTATTCTCCAGCATCTAAAATAGTCATTGGTACATGATGAAAGCTCAATCAATGTTTACTGAATAAATAATAAATGGCTCCTAAACAAAGGGCACCAGACAAACAAATATTTTTTCTATTGAATGGCATCAATGACTGAACAACATTTGGATTCCCTTTTGCAACAATCTGAACTGAGATAGACTGAAAGAATGAGTCAATTGGCGTTCAGATTTGAGATTTTTGGATATATTGAGGTAGAGGCAGGTCTCTCAGAAACCAAAACCATATGCGAGTTAGGAATATGAGGAAGCAGAAAGCATAGAAGGACCCCAACAAATATGTCCCAAAGAAATGTAGCTACCATCATTGAAGGAGACTGTGATCTGGACTTGAGTACAGGTACTCCCTTTGGCCTAGACATGCATCTCTTGTTCACCACAGTTCACACTACTACCACCCACTGTCTCCTTGTTTGTGAGAGCATTCTCTATTGTTCCTGTGCTATGATTCCCCTTAGGGTGTAGAAGTAGTTCTTCATACCTTTGTTACAAATAACAGTAGATGAGCCTTAGCTGGTTTGGCTCAGTGGATAGAGTGCCGGCTTGCAGACTGAAAGGTCCTGGGTTTGATTCCGGTCAAGGGCACATGCCTGGGTTGTGGGCTCAATCCCCAGTAGGGGGTGTGCAGGATGCAGCTGATTAATGATTCTCTCTCATCATTGATATTTCTCTCTCTCCCTCTCCCTTCCTCTCTGAAATCAATAAAAATATTTAAAAAAATAACAGTAGACAAAAGAGAAAACTAAGATGACTGCATGGTTTTATTACATCTGACCCTCTTCACTCATTGAAGTTGCCTGCGTTGCAGTTTGTGTTTGCAAGTGCTGGTCACCTGAACAGTTACTCTATGGCTATGAAAAAATTATTCCTCTCAGAGATTTAATGACTCATCTAAATGGATATTAACATTTTTTTAAATATGTTTCTTTATTAATTTCAGAGAGGAAGGGAGAAGGAGAGAGAGATAGAAACATCTATGAGGAGAGAGAATCATGGATCAGCTGCACGCCCCACTGGGGATGGAGCCTGCAACCGGGGTATGTGCCCTTGGCCGGAATCGAACCTGGGACCCTTCTATCCACAGGCTGATGCTCTATCCACTGAGCCAAGCCGGCCAGGGCTAACATTTTTTTAATGCAATGGGATACCTCTGCCTAGCTTTCACTGATGTGTTGATACAGAGAGTGAAGAGACTTAAATAAATATTTTACCCAGTAAAATATTTAGGGACTGTGTTTTACTATATATATATATATATATAATGTATTGCGCTAACCTCCTTGGCATAGGACTCAAGTATTCCCCGTAGCTCTGCTTATTTGACTGGAAACATGATAAGGCATCTAAATTATGCAGGTATAGCCATTCCTAACAACCAATTTGATTTTTGATGGACAAAGAGGCCCAAGAAAGTAGATGTCTTTGTACCTGAGAAAAAGGAAATTCCAAGTAAGATAGACGTGCCCTAATCAGTATGCTGTGGGTATGACAGCATGCAAGTGAGTGATCTATTTTGTTCTGCACTCTGGCTCTATCAAAGACAGAACACGGTTTACTAGAACAAATCAAATAAATGTATTTGACTCCTGTTTTGACATTTGAAAACACTAAAACATATTGCCTATGCAACTCTCTGATTCCACATTTTTAATTTTGATTTTTTTCTTATAAAATACCATTGTCAGATGAGAGTGCAAATAACAATCAGGGTAGAATTGTTTTCAATGCTTTCAAACATTATGGACCGGATAATTTCTGCATAGATATGATAATGTGGTAGATGTAGTTCAAAAAATTACAGCCCCGAAAGATTCATGGAAATAGACAACAGTATGGTGATTGCCAGAGGGAAGAAGGTAAAGGGGGGGATAAATGGTGATGGAAGGAGACTTGGGATGATAAACACACAGTACAATACATAGTACAATGTATTGTAGAATTGTATTCCTGAAACCTATATAATTTTATTAACCAATGTCACCTCAATGAATTCAATAAAAAAAAATAATCACAGCCACCCAATTTGGAAACCATGAGTATGCAATCAGTGGTCAATTATTTCAATGCTCTGTTGTCCCTGTTTGTGTTCCAGGTACATGTGACAGCGCTACAGCTATGAGTGGAATTTTAAGGGGGAAGTGTGAAGAAATTGACAGATCCTATTCCTCTGTGCAGGAATCAGATGATGAAGTTTTTATCTGTGACAGTGCTGACAGTGTTGATAGTGTCAATCCATCCACCTCTAATCATTCACTGGTGAGTATCAGAAGCTGTATTGCAGGTTGTACTTCAAATGGTGGTGTAGGATTGATTCTTGGAGTTTCTGTATTTATCCACTGGCTTTTATCTGCTCCAAAGTTGTTGTTTGTATCATACTAGACTTATTTCCAAACATTATATCATTTTGGTTAATATAGTCTCAGTAGTATACTTCTGTTCATCTCTATGGAGTAAATATGAGAGGCAGAAATTAGTTCAATCCAAGGTAAGCAGATAGCAATTGAAAATGATTTCATATGTGCCTTCAGCTTTCTGAAATAGATCCATCCTTTTGAAACCTAATAAATTGAGATCCTTTGAACTTCTAATACTAATCTACTTATATAAAAACCCTGGGTATAACCTCAGGGCCAGAACCGCGACCAACCGGAAGGAAGTCAGTCCTGCAGGGGTCATCTTGGAAATAGCTGTGCCCTCCCCCAGCTGTTTCCTGGAGGGCGAGGCTTCAGGCAGGAATCGGCCCTTAGGGTGAGGTTTTAGGCAGGAACCGGCCCTCAGGGTGAGTTTTCAGGCAGGAACCTGCCCTTGGAGCCGAGCGTAGAAGTGAAATGATTTGTAATGGATCTATTATTGAAGCTACCTTTGGAAATACTATATCTATAGATCAGTGGTTCTCAACCTTGGCTGCACAATAGAATCACCTGGGAATCTTTTTAAAATCCTGATTTTTGGGCCTCATCCTCCGGACATTCTGTTTCTTTGTTACTAATGTTGTGGCCCCACCCCATAACAAAGAAACAATTAATGGAGAATAAGGCCCAGAAATCAGGATTTTAAAAAGATTCTCAGGTGATTCTAATGTGCAGCCAAAGTTGAGAACCACTGCTATAGATACTATTAAAAATATATCTAAATGTGCAATTCTTTGTCCAAAAAATGAGCATGTTCAAAAATTAAATGAAGAAAATTTGGATATACTCAATGGAGATTTTCACACATATTTGAGTGATGATTCCATTGATTCCACAGATGATGCTGAAAAGGAAAATTTTCCCATTGAATTTTTAATAGTATTGCTCCTTCAGGAATGCCGTGTCATAAATTAAAATTGAAAGTGGGTGCAATCATCATGCTATTGAGAAATCTCAATAGTAAATGGGGTCTTTGTAATGGTACCAGATTTATTACCAAAGATTATTACCTAACATTATCAAAGCTAAAGTGTTAACAGGATCTGCAGAGGGAAAGGTTGTTCTGATTCCAAAAATTAATTTGTCCTCTTCTGACACTGGCCTCCCATTTAAATTGATTCGACGACTGTTTCCCATGATGCCAGCATTTGTGATGACTACTAATAAATCACAAGGACAAACTCTAGACAAAGTAGGCATATTCCTACCTGAACCCATTTTTGCACATGGTCAGTTATATGTTGCTTTCTCTCGAGTTTGAAGAGCATGTGATGTTACAGTTAAAGTTCTAAATACTTCATCACAAGGGAAATTAGTCAAGCACTCTGAAAATGTTTTCACTCTTAATGTGTACAGGGAGATATTAGAATAAGTTGAATCACTTTATCAGTCATTGTTTGCATCACTGTTGTTTTTATATCATGTTTCTGTTGTTTTCATATCATGTTTTTGTTGTTTTCATATCATGTTTTTGTCATTTTTATATCATGCCTCTGTTGTTGTTATATCCTTTTGTTACTGTTTATTAATAAATTTATATATTATTTTCATATATATTTTACTAATTTCCTTTCATCTCTCACACTTCTATTATAAAGGGCAAATAGCAATATTAAAATATCTCCGCTAATTAATTCCCTTTTTTAAAAAATATATATTTTATTGATTTTTTACAGAGAGGAAGGGAGAGGGATAGAGCATTAGACACATTGATGAGAGAGAAATATCTATCAGCTGCCTCCTGCACACTTCCCACTGGGGATGTGCCCGCAACCAAGGTACATGCTCTTGACCGGAATCAAACCTGGGACCCTTGAGTCCGCAGGCCGATGCTCTATTTGCTAAAATAGAACTTATTTTTTATGAACTTGTAGAAAGAATAAAAAATAAGAAGCAGTTAAAGGAACACTTGGGAGAAAGGAGAAAACAATAGCTGTTTTGAGAACAAGATTCTCTAGTTACATTAAAAAGGCTATTGTCAGTCAGTGGATTTGGGGGAAGAGGGTATAAGTTTTGTTTGAGATGTATCTATAGCCTTTGGCTCCTTCCGCTAACTGACTGTAGCCTTGCAGAGGGCACACATCTTGCTGTCACCAGTGGTGCTTAGAAGAGCACTGAATGATGCTTAGATTTCTTTATTGAGTAAATATATTAATTTTAGATAATTCTCATTTTTACACTTTTATTGACAAATAAAAAACATACTTAAGATGTGCAACATGATGCTTTAATTTAAATTGTATTGTGAAATAATTACCATAAGAAGCTAATTAACACATCCATCACCTCCCAGTTACTTTTTTTTTATGGTAGTGGTGAGAAAACTTGAAATCTATGCTTGTGGCAAATTTCAAGTGTACAATACATTATGTTTATAATTTCAGATGATTTAAAAAAAGAAACTGGAAACAACAAGTCCACTGGCTGTTTTTATCCTTAGAAAAGCAACAGTATACATTTACATCAAGAGCCTCAGGAACACTCTATTCATTGCATTTTCCATGTACCTTGAAGAGCTCTCCTTCTCCAAGCCCAGGAGCATTGCAGGAGCTGCCTAGTATTTTTCAAGTATTTCCTTGTAGCCACTCCTGAAAAACATCATCAATCTAGACTCTGCTGCTTTGAGATACCACCTCAACTAGTGCAGTGCAGCATTTTTCACATGCCTGTGGGTTTTTTTGTAACCTCCAGCATGCTTACAACTTCTCGGGTGTCTATGACTCTCCTAAAGTTACGAATTGACTCTGCTGGAAAAATCAATTGCAAGACTTCTCTATGCAAGATGCCTATTGATTTCTATAGCTGTGAGTTCACGAAGTACCTATAATGTTCATTTAAACACCATCAGGTCTTATAATTGTGGCTCAAGATTCTCTCCAGATGAAAGCGATGCTCTGGTGGTTTAAAAAGCTGTAGGTCAGGCGCTTGTAATAACCACCTGAACAACTCCCTGTAAGGGCACAAGATGGAGCAGAGAGTGGTTTTATCTTTATAAAACAAACTATTTGATAACTATTTTGATATCTCGTCATAACTTTTTTGGTTCATTACCATTATGAGAGTCTGTGGAGGAGGCGACATCTTGTGTGTATGGAGAAGTCAGGCTAGCAAAGAAAACAGCTGCAACATTTGATTAGCTTTTTCCAGCACTGATGCTAATGTACATTTCTTTGTGAATTTTCAGAGTTTTGAGGGAACCATTTGCTGATACTCCTTTATAAGGAAATGAAGATAGGCATCATTGAACAACTTGTAATTTAATGTGTGCTCAGAACCGGGACTGGGAATAAACAGTAGGGAGGAAGAGTAAGGAAGAATAGATAGATGAAAAATGTCATCTATGGGGAATTTCTGTGACTGTGGGCTATTCTTAGCCTGATCTCCAATATAAAACCTTATTAATTATTTTATAAAGTTAGACAAATTGAGAAAGAAAACCAACTTAATTATATATTTTGAGAAGATCCAATGCTTTATAAGACAAAGTAAGACAAGCAATAGTAAAGCATCAACCCTCATTTTGAATTCGAAGAATGTTAGAGATAGTAAGGCCTTTGAGAAACTCTAAGCTGACTCTCTTATTTTACAATGTGAAGACGTAGGTCCAGAGAGAGTAACTTGACAAGAATCCAAATGTGAGCTAGCAACAGAGGACTTGATTATAGATCCCTATTGTCTCTGATGGGCCTGTTACACCACTGACTACTAAGTGAAGGGACCTAAGTCATCAAGTGAAAGAAATGCCTGTATCTTTTGGCCACCTTTTCTTAGAAAGGGAATGAATGAGTGTACCTTTTGGTAAAGGTAATGGGTATCTTATCTCCTTTTGCCTTTTTTTTCCAGTTGGTTTCCAGTGAAAGTGCTGATATCTCCTGGATGTAATATTGTGCCAGTGATAAGTTGATGAATAAATTCAATGAGCTAAAGAAATAGTAGACAGAGAAATTAATTGAGTGTGAATAAACAATTTGCCTTTCCCTTTCCGTAAGTGACAGGGCAGACTGTTGAGACTTCCCTTGTATGTCACTGACATTGATGGAGATATCTTACAGCAAACATGTTGTTTTACATTTACATGAAGGAAATTGGTTTGTCTTGGTGACATAATGCTACTCGTGATAAAGTGAAAATGTTACAATGAAGGGAAGGTGAGGCGAAGTATGCAGCGTGCATCTTTAATAGCAGCTAACAAATAGAGGGTTATTTCATTTGTTTTAAAAGTAAGATGTTTTGTACATTCCACTTTTTGCCTGAGGGGTGAATGGGCATCCTGGACTCTCTGGAAGAACAGATAATGATGTCTTTCCATTCTCTGAACTCCAGGATCCTACTTTACTTGTTCAATAATTCAAGACCTCAGAAACACACTTACCTTGTATTTCGATTAGAGTCACTTAGTCACAGCTTCTGATTGCATGGAGTAATTATATTCCATTTGCTGGCTAAGTACAGAATTGGCTGTTAATGTTTGCTTATTTGCTTTAAGCCATGGAAAACTTAAATTTGGCTTTAACTTAAAAATGTAATTGGATTAAATTTCAAATAAAATTTTATATATCAATATAGTGAATCTAGGAAAACATTTATTGCTTGTGGATTTTTAAAAATATATCTTTATTGATTGCAGAGAAGAAGGGAGAGGGAGAGAGAGATATGAAAGAGAATCATTGACTGGATGCTTCCTACATGCCCCACATTGGGGATTCAACTCACAACCCCAGCATGTGCCCTGACCAGGAATCGAACCTTGACCTTCTGGTTCATAGGTCGATGCCCAACCAGTAAACCATGTCAGCTGGACTCGGCTTGTGCTTTTAACTCTCAGCTTCACAAAAGAATAAATAT